TCGCTCTCTCTCTCTCTCTCGCCCTCCCCGAGGTTATGTTTAGGGGTTATGCCACCTCACGATTGCAAGAGCGAGTGTGTACAACAACGTGTGAGTTGAGTTCCTTTCCCTTACAGAGTTTAGGTTTAGGGAGTTTCGGGATCGTCCCAGCATCCGAAACCTTACGATTTCAAGAGCGAGTGTGTATTAGGACGTATGAGATGCACTCAAGGTGCATGTCGATGTGTCACTATTATTACCGACCGTGGCCTGTTGGATCACAGAGGGCCCTCTTGTAGCCGAGAATCAGGCGGGCAATTGTGTGCGCTTCTGCTGTGAGTTGAATTGGCACCGGAGCTGTTGGTCTGTCAGGGACCGGAGGGCTATCTCTGATGAGCCATGACGGCACTGCGCGGTGGAAGGAGGACCGGAATCCAGTCCCAATGTGCCCAAGTCTTTTGCCCACAGACTTTGTGACAAGAAGGCCTGGCAGCAAGGCCAAAGCACGCTGGTGCAGCTCATGCACGCTGGACCCCGGAGACTTCAAAACCCAGGGCAGCGTGAGCCGGCTCGTGAAGTACCTTGAGGAGTCGCAGGAAGGGCCAGGAACCTCTGCCGGCTTTCCTGATCCGTGAGGACAAGGTCCATGATGCTCTGCTGCAGTCTTTGCAGCGGCTCTTAGGGAGCAGGAGCTGGTTTTCGACGACAACAGCACGAATCTGGAGGAGCTGAAGGCTTTTTGCGGGACGTCCTTGGCCCAGTTCTTCTATTGCGGCCTGCCTGAGGGTGAGCCACCGGATGATGATGACAATGCTGGCGGAGAATGACGGCAACCTGGCTGAGGCCAGGAGGACCGCGGCAGCAGCGGCCAAGGATAGAGAGCCGAAGCCCGCCTCGACAGACATGGTCAGGGCAAAGGCAAGAGAGCAAAGGCAAGAAGGGAGCCAAGTACGTCAAGAAGGGCAGAGCAAGTTTTCAAGGGCAGGCCAAACAGGCTTCATCGTGCGGCCACGCCTACGGTGCCACCTGGAGGGCGGCATTGAATTGAACATCACCGTTTTCGAGACTATGTCGTGTTTGCCTCAAGTACCAGGACATGATGTTCAGCATGTTTGCGTTGCCGAGTGAAGCGGTTCCAGTGCTGATTGGGATGCGTGAGCTCAGGGTGATGAATGCTTTACTAATGCTTTCATTGGGAGTGCTTCAGGACGATGTGTCATCAACAACAACATGGTGGAGCTAAGGAGAACAGCCAAAGGACACGTGGTGATGGATGTGATGAAACATGCGTTCAACGTTCAAGGCGAACCCTGCGCAGTAAGACACATCAACCGGACCGAGCCCAGCACGAGCACAACTGCGAGCCCAACAACGAGAACAACCATGAGCCCAACAGCGAGCACGACCACGAGGCCGCGCGAACAGCCCAAGAGGGCCTTTGCTAGCCCGACATAGGCACCTACAGCAGCCAACGTAAGCCAACACCAGTCACCAGAACACCAACGACTCGTGGGACTGCTAAGCATACCGGTTACATGCTTGAAGTGCAGTCTGACATGTCAGTAGAAGCACAATGTGGACACGAGCTGTTGAGCTTGTTTGCGATCCATAGCGACCTTCACGTAGCAAAGGGTTTCCTTGGCATTGGTGTGGACGAGACCCTGGGCTCGGCAGAGATGAGTAGTGTGACGAATTCGGTTTCTCCTCGCCCGGAGCAACATAGCGACGACCCGAAAGGTGCCTGGTACAAAAACGTGTTGGTTGTCATCGAAGGCAGCATGCATTCCCCTGCGTCTGTGAGTCGTTGCTGGACTCTCAGCCCCCTGCGCCATCTTGTTGGCTCTCAGGAATTGGAACCTCTGCAATCTCCGCATCGAATTAGGGCTCGTCACCGATCTGCTGGGCCGCTGCCACAATTGCCGCGACCTTTCGGGGCTTTTCACCGAGTGGCCCTTCCAGATCACAATCTGGTGCTCGCCTGCTTGCTCCATGGGCTCCTCGGTTCCACGGCCGTAGCTCTCGTCACATGGTCGGTGCATCATGGAGCGCCCGGTCATTGTGGAGTATGGTCCATTGCTTCCGGCTTCGGGACCCTTTCGCCGACGGTATCAGCATGCACTCGTCCACGGTGGTGCGGCAGGCTGCTTCTTCGCCTTCACCCGCCGCTTTTTCTGGAGCTTCGTCTCGCCCGCGGACTCTTGGATCGCGCCTGGCAGGATGCATGATGGTAAAAATCACAGTTTCCACGGGGCTTGCTGCCAGCGCTCCTTCAGCAGCTTGTTCACACCGTCCCTTTTGTTGATATCATAGCCGCTCTCTAACGCCTTACCGTGCACCTCCCAGGCTCGACGTGCACATGCGCAACCAAGGTTTCCTTCAGTCCTGCACGCAACCTGCCATATGTATTGAGGCTGCAAGGCATCCAAGATGGCTGCCAAATCGAACTCTTTAGCTGCTTTGCGCAGCTCCTGTGTTTTTCCACCCAAAGGGACATGCTCTTCATCCCAGTGGTCGGCCGTCTCGTGCCGAGTCGTCCTTCTCGACCGCTTGGTCGCCGTCGGGCGGTCCTCCTCCTCCGACTGGGCTCGCTCGCCGGAATACTTCACGGGACGACCCCGAGACGATGAGCCGCATGATCCAGGCCTCGGACGAGTTGGGAACATCCGCGGCCTCCGGCAGAACGGTTGTGAACACCGACTCCCACACACAGCAGGGACACTTAGGGGTGGCTATAACCTGCAGGGCCGCTGCTCGGACTTACGTGCTGCTACGGGGCTCGGGCCAGACTTAAGTTTCACGCCAACCAAACCAAACACGGACTTTGGCGTAGTGCTGTTGCGGTCCCCAACCCCAAACACCTAGCAAGCAAGCAAGCAAGCAAGAGAGAGAAAGGGTTTTTGTTTCTTGGGGGAGGTGGGGTTTCTAATCGGAGGAAGAGATTATGGCAGTGACGGCTATGACTCTGTTGCTTGAAGGTGGAGGATCGCATGCAGACGAAGCTGAGCTTTGCCTGCAGCAGACCAACCATCAAGAGCAGTTTGTTATGAGGTTCAAAAACAGGTGTGGCAGGGTCATCTGAGTCAGAAGTGCATGTTTTTCTGTGGGCATCGGTAAGGATGGCAGAGATCGCAGAACTGACAAGGCAGTTTGCTTTGCAACTCACATTGGAGGAAGCTTGCAGAAGGGTGCAGCCATGCCATTTAGCGTGGAGGCATTGTTAGTTGCCTTGCCAGGCGACCAGCGGTGCAGCCGCTGCAACTATCGAACAACTCGGCAACTCCTGGCGTGGATAAGTGGCTTGGATGGGCTTTTGGGCCGGTTTGGCACTTGTACACGGGCACACACGCCTAGGCTCATGTTCCACTGGTGCGACTCAGGATTATGCCACAGCTCCGGGAGCTTCAGTGGCATCAGACTGGCATCAGCACGTCACCTGCTCGAGAGGTTACACAAGACGGGAGCAGCGACATTGCTATTGCTATTCGCTTCATTAAGTGTTTTGCTTGCTCTTTTGCTCGTGCTGAGTTCGCTCGTAATCGTGCCAAGGTGTCACGAAAGTTTACAGGGCTTCCAGACCCCTGTAGGCCCTTGCAAGCATGGCTTAAGCACAGCTTGTTTTCAGCGAGCTCCGGAAGCTCAGGTCTGTGAGCACCTTGCAACCGCGACTGGGCGCCTGCGAGGCTTTGTGTAAAGGAAACCTTGCATGCATGCACTAGATTCAAGAATCCTGCGCCGGAGGCCAAGCTCAATGCTCAGGCTGGCACGTGGCCTCCCCAAGCCATCTTGACCTTGAGCAAGTCTGCTGATCCTGAGGGTGTCGTCCTGGACAGCTTGGCCAAGCAGGTCGGCGATGCTTGCAAAGCCTTGGCCTCGCTGTCGACCAAAGCGGTGCCTCGAAAGAACACGGCCCAGGCCAGCAGAGGCCGAAGCTTTGCCATTGCAAGCTGAGAGGTGGCCGTGGAGAATTTGGAAGGCTTGCAGCAGAAGCTCCTGGCCGCGGAGCGTCGGATCCATGCGTCGGAGGTTTCAACAGATTGCCTCAAGAATCAAGCTCTTCGGCTCATGCTTTCCGGCCAATCTTTCGTGGCATTTCGCTCAGCCGTGCCACCGTCGCCACCCTAGGTCCAGCAGCTCAGGGTGCAACCTGGGAACGGAGAGGTCGGCAAAGACGAGTGTTGCACAGAATGCTTTCCACGATCTGCAGCCACCTCTGTGGTGCTGTCCTTGAAGATTCCACTCCCCGCTCCGGACATCGCGACCCAGAGCGACGGCATGCTGGCTCGGCAGCTGGGCTTCTGGGCTGACCTGGGAACTCCAATTCTGCGTGGAGCGACTGTCTGAGCCCGAAGCGTGAGGTCTAGAGAAGATCTTTGGCGACTTTCGACGTGGGATCCAGAGCCCAAAGCACCGTCGAAACCCCTCGCCGCACAACACCAGGAGACTGTCAACTGGATATCCACTGCGCGGTCAAATTTTGTGCCCCTGTGAGGGAAGCCGCAACTTTGAAGCGGCTGCCTTTTGGAGTGGGTCGACACACGGCTTTATTGGCACTGCTGTAGCCCTCCCACTTGACCCGTTCTCGACATGCAACGAAGAAAGCCTTTTCCTGCGTGCATGGACATGCAGAGCCAGTAAGAGTAGAAGGTCTTACTTGCTCTGTAGAGCAGCCTGGTATGTCGACCGCCTTGCTCTGGCGAGCTGCACCATGCAGGTCCATCCGGACGCAAGGCATCCGAGCCTCCGTTGCAAGCAGTGCTCAATCTCGGACGATGCAGTGACGCAGTCGAAAAGTCAACGGCTGAGGACAGTGAGGAGGTGCCCTATTTAGTGGCCCAGTCGGAGCCCAAGGGGTGTTGTGATCCCGGCCTCGGGTAGAGTGTTGCCCGTGCCTGTACCGTTAGTACTGAAATGGCAGGCCAAAGCTGGAGGGCACATTGGGCAGAACACAATCCGAATCCCTGGAGTTGCCCTTCGAGTCTCTCGATTCATGTATGGGAGCGGAAAAGAGCGACAGAGCGACGGCCAGGTTGCGTTTGCACAGTCATTGAGGGATCCAATGTGGCCTTAGTTGATTGTGCTTGGCGGTCAAGGCTTCACTCATCACCCAGTTCACAGCAGGCACGTTTCACCATCGTTGAAGTATTGCATGTCTACGACATGCTGACTCAAAACCTGCCAAAGATTCCGGACAAATCTGGAAGCAGGTATTGACCTCTCGTTGGATGTCGGCCATCAAAGGTTGACTATGTTGGACGTCTTGATACTTCTTGCAAGACTTGGAAGGAAAACCAGCGAAGATTGAGATGTCGAGACTTTTCTTCGGGACCGCCTGCGCTCGAGAACGTCAGACTTGCCTGTGTGCGAGCCCAGTGAAAGAATTGTGGTTGCGACATCTCAAGTTAGGCACAGCAATCGCATCCCCATTTCGGTGTCATGTCCGTCTTTGGGGATCGTATCTGTAGCAACAGCAGACTTCAGACAAGCAATCGCTACACGCTTTCGTCTCCCAGTACTTCTGCAATGTGAGGGCCTGATGGCAGTTCTGCCAGCCATGTCCGTGGAGCTACCGCCCCTTCCTGAAAGGCACCGTAAAGGTTCTGAAGTGCTTCTCGCCCCGAGTTTACAGATGCAGGCGGGCATCCGAGGAAGGCCCTGGATCACCGGGACAGGCCTGCCCCTGAATACAAGGAACATGAAGAGGCTAAGTTACTAAACGGAGGTAACCCTTCAACCTCGAGCAAATCCTACCTCTCCATACATGTCGGACAGAAGATGACTATGAGGTGCTTGTTCCCGACGCATCAGGCCGTGCAACTCGGCCCCCGGCTAAGCCGACGTTGGCTCCCTTCCAGCAGCATCAGCAATGATCACCAGAGGCTGACGGAAGCCCGAGTCGACCCGAGGCGGCAAGAGATTCCGAGGTTCCAATGTTCAAGTGTCGGAGTCCGATGACAGGTTCCAGACGATGCGAACGCCGGAGCATTGGCGCCTAACGCACCAGGCAGAAGCAGCCACGAAAGCAGCTACAGAAGCACCCCTCTGGAGCCAGAACATGTCTGAGACTGTTCGAGTACGTGAGCGCAGGAGCACAGCCCAAGCAGCAGAGATGCGCGAGCGGCGCTCATGCAGCCCGGAGCTTGGCTGAAGATCTCACGCAACTGAATGCCGGAGCATTGTAAGTTAGTGTTGCCATGTGTTGCCACTGCCTCTGCAGGATGTACGTGACGGGCAGCTGCGCACCTGCCAAGCCCAGCAAGCGTGAGTGGGCGCTGCGCCTGAGCGTTTCCGCGCAAGGGCCTCGAAAGTCTCGCGAGAGTCGCCGATTCGGGCCTCATGTTGTTAGCGCAGGAAGTGGGTCTTGGTACAACTTTTGGCAGTGGCTTGGCTCTCGGTCCTCTCGGCTATGTCGCTCAACCTTTTCAGTCAGGAGACTGTGAGTATGAGAATCACCAGCTGTGCCAGGTTTTTCCGCCTGTCCTGACAGAAACCATGTTGTCCACTGTCCTGACTGTGTTTTATCTTGGATCTGTTATCCTGAGGCCATTGACCTCGCAACACTTCTGGCTCACATTGCAGATGTGGGCGTGTCGGCGCTTTGGGCGAGCAGTCCTCCATCGCCATCCCATGTGCTGCCCTCGTGTCTGAAATGCTCAAAGAACTTGTGGCCATGCATTTCTCGGCCATCTGTCATGCAACCTGCGTCCTTGTGACATGGTACCTCAATCCACCTCGTGTTGGCACGTCCCGCCCAGGCCATGAAGCTTGTCTTCTTGCTGGACTCTCATACTAAGCTTCGAGGGGCATTGGAGCCGTGGTGCTGAAACAGCTCGGACGCAGCTGCATTGTGCTCTAGGCACTCCGACAGCTTGGGATCTCAAATGTTCAGTCATGGCAATCCAGATATTAGGATTATTAGGGAAAGATTCCTCCGCGTTGTCAATGTCCTCGCAAGAGCAGCAGGGGCGGCAGCTCTTTCTCCTTCCGAGAACAAGCTCGTGTGACCTTTGCGAAGCCGGGGATAGCCGATTTTCAAACTCTTGCAGCTCAGGTCCCTGGCCTACTCCGCCGACGTCGGCTTGCGTGTTTACGGTCTCGGTACGCAGGCCCGGCCTGGTCCACCCGGGCCCTTGCCTTCTGCTTTCCTCTGAGACAGGTCTTTTTCTCGAAGTGTTGGAACCGGCAAAGCACTTGGAGAGTCTTCGCCTGTGCTCGCAGTTCGTGCTTCTGTTTCCGAAGGGAGGGCAAGCAGGGTCAGGGGTCTCTCCCGGGCATCTCCAGGCCAGAGTTTGAAAGGATCCCCCGGGTTTGTCTAGTGCTGTGCGATGGCTTAAAGGTTTGACACCGCGATCGTGGTCTTGACGATCGCTGGTGCTATCCAGACTCTCACCGAGTCGGCCGGACACACAGGCGGGCACACGGGCTCCTGGCCTTCCGTTTTACACTTGCCTTTTTTGAAGTGAGAGCCTGTGAACTCAAGTCCGCAGGCCCATTCAGGTTTCTGCGGCTCCTGCGCGTCTTCAGGTGCGCTCTGCTTCTTGATTCCCCATCTAATCGTGAGCATGGCATTTTTTCCTGCCGCTATTGGCCGGTTTTGATTCTGGGCAGGATTTTGCGAGTCATCCGCATCGCTGTTTTTGTCAGCCATGCGTTGCCTCGGTGTTGCTGCTTGGCCGCGATATGACCTGCAGTCGTTTTGCTTGCATCTGCTGCACACGGTCGCACTTCAGCTGTAATCTCAAAGCCTCGGACTTGCTGTTTCAAGGAGGCGTAGCTCCACATCAAGACCAAGAGTGGTGAGTTCAGAACCACCACCCGGGAGTGCTCCGCAGGAAAGCGGTTCTTCGAACTATACCAAAACATGCCCACACACACATGTTCATCAGTTGAATTTGGTGGACACTATTCAACCAGCTTAACCTCAAAGTCTAAGCTTCCGAGTTAAAAGCCGTGCAAATGTCAACCCAAATCAAGCCCCAAAGAACCGGGCCAGGGCAAAGTGAAGAAATCTGAACGAGCAGCCCATGTTCAGGGTACGAACGAGCCAACATTCAGAATCCTGAGATGGCGAACCGTCTGGGTTATAATTGGGTTGCCTGCACGGAATATAGACGGCTTAAGTCTTAAGTGGCTATTGCCTTCAACCACAGTGGCTGTTGCCTGCACTGGCGAATCATCTGCAATGGTTGACTTTCTGCATGATTCTGAGGTCAGCGTATGCGAGCACCTCAGTCTCCAAGAGTCCGTACATCTTGCCGGAGCTGTCTTATGTGCCGAAGATGTTTCAAGACCCCTTTCAAGACTTTGACCCGATGAGGCGACGGATCACCGGCGAGAACAAGCGGCGGTTTGTTTCGCTCGAGGAACCTTGTGCAAAGACTGAGCGGTGTCTTCTTGGAATCTTGCTGCCATTGCTGCTCGGACTATCGCAACATGTCTCGCTTGTGATGTTGGTGCATATGCCTGCGCTGCCCATACCTGAATGAACAGGAAGACTTCGATTTGGATCTGGCATCTCGGCCAGCCCCAGCATGCTGCTCTTGCATGTTCTGGTAGCATGAGGAACGCCTGAAGCCTGCACTTTTGCACGGGGCATCGAACCTGTAGCAGTCTAGCCGCGCGGCGCGCAAGTTGATTGGAGCCTCTATGTGTCGCGGGTGCAGACGCAAACCTGCACAGCTTTATGCAACCTCGCATGCGGTTTGATGCCAAGGTATACATCACGCTGCGGCACTTAGCCAACCACTCTCACGTGTGGGTCATTTTCACTCGCAGTTGACCTGGGGCCATGGCACGTTCGGACGAAGTTTTCCTGACCAGAGGCCCCGTCTACTCAGCATGAGTGTGCCAGCCGACGGATGGTTGCTCTTTCCTCAGCCTCGGTGGAGAATCCTGCTTCAGCCTCTTCTATGGTTGCTGGAAACCGAAAACTGAGGATGCAATTCTACCGGAATCCCCTGTCAGAGGTGGTCCGCTTCTTCGAAACCTTCCATCCCAAGATCGGCCCTGAGTAAAACATATATACAAGCTCCGAAGCAAGTTAGGGTCTAGAGTCGAGAACTCGCGGTGCTTGGTGCATTGAGGTTAAGTGCTCGCCGAGTCCATGTAGCACTGACCTCGCCCGAAGAAGCTCAGGAGCTACCTCATCATCAATGCGTGCCCGGAGATTCCTTACAACGAGGCTCCGCCAGCAGGTCATGCTTGCCAATGTGCTCTTCATAGCGTGGTCATGGTTTGTGTAGAACTCTCTTTCGAGAGGTAAGGCCTCTCGTGCTTTCCCGTGGTGCGAGGCCGCCTTTCGAACTGGGACCGTGGAGAGGTTTGACGTGAAGGACTTCCAGGGTGCTAGCGACATGGTCGTTCCTCAGGCTTGCGTTTCCTGTGCACATGCGCCGTCGGGAAGGTTGCTCGTGCATCAGCTGTTGTAGCAGCTCGGAGAACTGGAGTCATGATGTGCGAAGTGCCAATGCAAGCCGCCATGTTTTCACGCTAGCCAACCTTGAATTGATGCTCCTCAGCATGCAAGATCATGCAAGCATGCCTTTGCAGCAAGCATGCGCAAACAAAGCCATGCCAGTAATATTGTTCATTCTCGCTGGTTCTTTCTGCGCTGCCCAAAAGATCCATGGCATCGTTCTCGCCATGCTGCGCAACTCGCTACTTGCGGGTGCTGCTCGTGCTGCTGGTGGAGCCAGTGAGATGCAGGGCTGCACTGCACAGCTATGTTTGCTTATGGGTCTGCGAGCCCGATTTCACAATAGAAAAGCTTGCATTCTACGAAGTCTACCGAATACACGGTTTGTTTCGATTCCGTCCCGACATGCTGCACCTATAAGGATACATTTCGGCAGCCGATGCCGAAGATGCCAAGATCTCCTGTGCAAATCTTCAACCGCAGGTGTGTTCTCATCGAGGACCCCGGGCATGTGTTTCTCAATGACCAACTTCTTGCCCTTGTTGATGAGTTCACCGCAGGGAACCACGACGACAGCGAGCTTCAGCTACTCAGTGCGATGAAGATGCA